GTGTGTGTGTGTGAGAGAGAGAGAGAGAGAGAGAGAGAGAGAGAGAGAGAGAGAGAGAAAGTTTGTGTGTTAGGCTGTAGTTGCTGTTCCAGTGCAGTGCCCTCTAAGTAGTCATTAACTTGCTTCCTTCAAGAAGAACAAAGCCTGCTTCCTTTCTATTGTCAGAAAGTGGGCCAAGGGTCAGGTCCTTTACTTAAAGACAGATCCTATGTTGAAAGAACCCCTCTTGGCTTCGCATAAGGGAACTAAGCTTCACTCTTTGCTCTAAGTCCAAGCAGTTAGAGCTGAAGATTCTCCATTAAAATATGCATGCAATGGGGTGCAGCTTTGTTTAAAAGTTCCTATTTTCAGAAAGAGCATCACTTCTGCCTTTGGCACACCCTTCTTGAAGTTGCCAGTGCTGCTTTTACAGAATGTCAGTCCCAAAAGCAAACATCCAGGCAATGCCATGATATTCCTTTCCCATTTCCCAAGTATTCTGTTTCTTGTACCCGTTGCCCAGATACTTAATGATTTTCAACACTAATATTTAAAATTAAATTTGTAGTACAGAAAGATGCTCATATCTGGTTTCCATAGGATAAGTCAGCAGAGCACTGCCTTCATTTGCTTTCAACTTTCTGTTGATGGGTTGCCCAGCAGTCCTGAAAATGTATTCTGAGCATTGTACAAAATAAACTGATGCTTCTTTCTGTCTGTAGATGGGGAAGGAATTAATCCCCTCCATGTAAAGAAACTCTCTGTACATAGTAAGCTACCACATCAAGGCTAGGTTTTGTGAAGTCCACTCTATATTCCAGAGATATTAACTACAGGAATCTTTTTCAATAAAAGAAATAACAAATTTCAATCTGGCTCTTTTATGGTCCAGATTCCTACCACTTTCTGCTTCATAATGCACATTTTGAATGCAAAAGCCAAAATATTCTTTCTTGCCTCAGAATGGCTGATGTTGCCTTGGCACAGATGTCATTGTAAGCAAGCATCCCATCTATATTAAGTCCCCAGATGAGGCACTTCATCGTGAGGATGAGGATCCTGCATTAACCTCTTGCTAGAGATAGCAGAATGAAATCCATTTCAGCTGGCAGGTCAAATCCCACCCTTGACTATCAATTAATACGAAGTGTGTCTACTGCTTGATGCTGAACTGATCAAGCAGAAAACTGGAGAGTAACATTACAAGTCCACAGATGCACAGTTTGCTGCTTGAAAAAACAGTTAGGGGCATTTTCCCTAGAGTGGATATATTCATGAGTGAGTGCTAACATTGTCTGCTTCAAATGGTAATTTTCCAGCAAGATAGGAAAAAAATATGTTCCAAAATCCTCAAGGAATTGTTGTTTTTTAAGAAAGAAAGAAAGAAAAGAGATAAATTGTATTAATGTTTTGTTTTAAAAACACAGTGTAATCAGACACAAACAGCTGCTAGATGGATACAGAAGGAACCTGAGAAAAGCAGAGAAAGAAAGATCTTTCTTGAATAAATTATTCCCTCTCTTCTAGCTCCAAATCTATCTCAAAGCAGGGAATCTTAGTATTCTTGGAGATCTTTTCTGAGATATCTCTCATTACCAGGGAGCATCAGACCCCAGTGCAAATCAAAGACAGCTTGCTTAAAAAGGTAGAAGTTCACTGATTGGGTGTCTGCTTTAGGGCCAGACAGTCTGGGCCAGAGATATTCCTTGGCAATTCTGCTTGATTTTGGCAGGACTCCTAGTTGGGAAGGAAGGAGTTCAGCCTCAGGAAGAAGATCTGCCTGCTCTATAGCAGATAGCCAAATAGGAGACAATTACAGGATAGCGATTTCAGTGAAGATGAATGAGGATGTACTGGGCCTGGATGAAAGGCAGACAGACAGTCCCTCCTCAGTTATATTGAGTTTGGAGTTCAAATGCAGATGGAAGTTCAGCAGAATCTTAACAGTGACTGCAACCTATCTTCTTCTACACCTAGTTATTAGAATCAAAATCTGCATGTTCTTTCCCCCATTCTATTAATATATAATGAACCATCTTACTTATCCATTGTGGTCTTTAAAGAAGAAAATTTTGGCTATTTGCATGCAGCAAGAAATAGAAGAACCTTGTGCAAGTGTGTTTGTATCTTTGTATTTCACCAGGTAGAACTGAGATCTATCTGTAAGAGACAGATGCAAATTAATGGCTAGGGTTGACCATATACCAGTTGGAATTATGGAACAAGGCAACATTAAACACACTCTCTGACCAGGATGTTGTTTTTGTCCCAAAACGGAGACTCGCTACCTTTTCACACCAAAATATCTGGCTTCTCTTTAACTATTCCTTATTTCATCAGCATAATTTAAGAGTGGAAAGAACTATGTTATTGTTGCTATTTTGGAACAATGTTTTTAAAGGCAGAATTCCTTGTTTATTTACAAAAAATAAACTGTTTCCTAAATAAATCACACAGATGATCAGGGATCATGCAGGAAACAGAATCCCATTAGAATGCTAAGCAGCTAATCAGAATGAGAGCTACTGAAAGTGTGGATACAGCAAGTGAAGACACACAGTGAACGTTGCAAGGAGTGCTAAAGAGCAAAAAGGAAATGTATTTTTCAGCACTTTCAAAATTCTTCACGGAAAATGCTAAAAGCTAATCTAGGAGAATCAGAGCACCATCATCTTTCAAGAATATATAGACCAGATGTTTTAGTACTAGGTTTGTTAATATCATTTTGAGCACAATGGCTAAAACAGAATCAGAAAAAATGATAAATACTTTGCTACACATTGTAGAATAGTGGTAATATGGTAAGTAAGCACCAATTCCTTGTTTCACATATGTGAGCCTTAAGTTACTTTAGTCTGAAAACTAGTCCGAAGACAAAAGTCCAGAGAGGTTGGAGATATAAATGTAAATACTGACACATCCATTTGATTCACACTAAAACTGGATCATCTGTTCACAAATAATAAGGAATCTGATAAAAAGGTTATAATTTTTTTTTCAAATAACCCTTTTGATAAATGCATAAGCTGACAAACACATAATAGGCTAGAAGTAATGAAGAGTTTATGTGGATGAGAAAATGCTAAACTGTGATTAACCCAAGCCAAGAGTCAAGAGGCTGCTGAAAATTCTTTGTTTCCATTATGCAACAGATCAGGAGTGCCCCAATAATTTGGATAAATGTGCCTTGGTTAATATTCATAGCATTTGTTTGCTGACCTCATGTCTTGATCTACAAATTGCAGCTTCAAAGAAGGAGTTTTATCTGCAAGTGACAAGGGACACTTCTTAATGACATTATCAAATAATCTTAGGAAAGTACAAGAAAAATCCTACTTATTTTTAGTGAACTTTAGTGATTCTAAGATTGTGCCCCCCCAAAAAAAAATTGGAGGGAAGGAGAAATATTAATCATGCACTCACCCCTAATATTAGAATGGATCTAGAGTCATATCCTACAAATATATTTTTAAAGTTATCTTTCCTCCAATGCTGGCATTCATATTGCTAAGCTCCCAAAATGGCCACATATATGGCCACAAAGAGAAGCATGGATTGCATCTGCCATTTTGAATCCCCAATGCTAAGAGGAGGGAGTGAACGGCAGCATGGGTGTGCTATTGTAGAATGACATCCTCATCTAACAGGAGGGCATACGTAGGACTATTGATAAAGATTTCATGGTCAATTGCAGACTAAGCCAGCTAACAAACCATTGCAGTTCCAAAGCTCTTATGATAATATTTGAAGAAACATTGCATAAGCCTACACGTAATCCCAATAAAAGTCCATGGAATAGATTTGTTCAGGCTATGAGCCCTGATTTACATTTGCATCAACTAAATCAAGGATTGAATTATTTTTGCCAATATCAAAGATGGAATCTTGTATGCCCACCCTCCCCAAAGACTGTAGCTATTTTGTTCACTGCAGGATGCACATTATTGTGGTTCATGGAGATTACCTTTACAGTTGAAGAATAACAGCGTCTTAAATAATGTCTCTAGAATACAACCCATGAAGATGCTGGGTGAAATTTAGGACACAAATTTCCCTTAGTTACCAAGTATTGACCTGCAAACTTTTTTTTTTTCCAAAATGTCATATGATTTATCAAAAATTCTATTTTTTTCCCCACTGAGGTAGATGTCAATTTGGAGGAAAACAAAGCACAAAAGAAAAAGAGAGAGAGGGTGGTAATCAATGCCTTGTAATCTTTCAAACAGGTATATGAAGTAGGGCCTCTTCAAGTCAATTAGTGCCCATTTGCCTTTAAAACTATTTCCTTGCTTGGACATGCCAAGCCTGGTTTGAGTTAGGTTAGTAATTAGACTAAGTTACAGATGCTTCTTAGATCACATGTCACCCCTCAGTTCACTTCAGCACTCTTGAAGCAGACAGGGAGTAGTTGCTGCTGGGGGCTGTGATGAATTGCATTTCTCTAAGGCAATTGGTTTACCTAGGTAGTCAATACACAAGGCACTTCGTGTCCGCACTCCCTCTCCACATGTTTGGGAACAGTGGGACCATGGTCCCATCTGCCAGATTGGGCAAGGAAGATCACTGCAAGGCTTGATGTCCTCAGGCTTGAGGGCCTTGTCACAGGTTGATGAAAACTGCCCTTCCACATCCAAACATTCTACTGTTCGTCTTTGCCAACCTGAACTACAGGATTTGGAGCACTCAGACCAGTCTCCCAGAACCCATTGGGAAGTCAGCAAGGGTTTGATGATGTTGGCCAAACTTTTCTCCTTGATCTTCTGCTTGCTGAATTGGATGTCCTTGGGGATAAAAAAGGTGTATTTCACCTTTGGAGAAGGAAATACCTTGGGGAGGAACATCTCACTGGAAACGGTCAGCACCTGAACAACAATGGATTCAGGGAGCCGCTGGTAACTTTGAAGGCGTTCCAGGGTGGTAAGGGAGCCACTGTACCTTAGGACAGTCCCCTTTACAAAAATGTCTTGTTCCATAGCTGAAACAGTGAAGTTTCCATTCAGTAGGTATTTGCCATCCAGTGTCCGCAGAGCTAAATAATTTCCATCATGCCTCACTCCTCGTCGGCTGTGTTGTTTGATGTCAATGTTGGTTGCCCCTGCAGGAATTGTGACAATGTCGTTATACCCAAACCTACAGAGATGAGAGAAATGGGTGTTAACTTCAGCTAAACAACAGTTTGAACAAAGATCTGCTGTAGAACAACATATATTGCTCCATGTCCAGAAGCATCTAGTTCCTGTATTTCCTCTTGGATAGCACAAGAGGCTGAAATGTTTTAACTATAACTGACCTTGGGAACCCTAAAGACTCTAGTCATGTGCAGGAATTAAGGAACTGTAGGAGAAAATACTCTATGCTCACACTACATTGTTAAATACCAGAGTTCTCAAGAGGGTGAAATAAAACCATCTTATTCATCATATTCTGCTGTGTTACCAGAGTGTGCAACTGTTTTTGGACTGAGGATGGCACTTTGTTTTTGATGGAATGCTAGGGGCCGCAGGTCCAAAAGTAATTAGGCCAGGTCACACAAATGGTGGGGCCAAGATAAAATGAAAAATGGACTTCAATTACATGTGAATACAGTTTAATTAAATATGGTTACTATGATTAATCCTAGTTATTTATTTTTTTCCACCTTTTTCCAGATTAGTATTGAAAAGTCAATAGCAATTTGGAGAAGGTCACACTCTGCTGTAGGAAGGACTTCAGGATTCTAATCCCAAAGATTGCTGAAAAATTTTCTGGATTTTTTGTGTCTATTAGAACTCTGTCCCCGGCTCAAACTGGATTCACAGTTGTGCACTGTATGTTCTTGCACCAAGCTTTGCCAAACATTTGTGCTTCTCTTACTTGGATTTGTTGAGTGAGCCAGATATTTTTCTGCAAGTTGAGCAGTTGCCACCACAAACTCCACACTTGTCTAGTTTCTTGGGAGACCCAATAATATGATCACAACCAGCCTTAATGCACTGACCATGTACACAGACAGACAGTGTATCAGGTGCACATATTGTCCCGTCAATCACCTGATATAAAAAGAAAAGAAGAGTAAAATGAAGACTGATTGTCAATCTACCTTCTATTAATCTTTAGTGTATTTCTGGTGGCTGGAAAGACATTCTGTTAAGAAACATATTTCTTACAGATACCTCCTTACAAACTTGGAGAATGGGCTAACTTATCAGTTTCAGTTCTGGTCAATTCTTGTTTTACCAATGATAATTTCTTTATGCTTCTATTTCTACATCAGTTTATGGATATTTTCATTTACATTTCAATCATATTCATTGTTTGTGTTATTACTGTTCCTAATCTGTATGCTTTTGGAAAGTGAGTTTTAATATTGTATCAACAATATTACATTATATGCATTTGATACATGATAACTTTTGGACATTTTGCACTATGAAATTCTCATACATATGGATTTAGGCACGTGTGGATTCATTCAGATTTTTCTGTAAGTTTGGTAAGTGTGTGCAAATGCAGTTGATTCATATAATAATTCTGATGGATAGGGTTTTTCATCCATGCCTCAAGCCATATATAGATTTTCCCCAATTTTATAGGAAACACTGTTTTTTTTCCCAGCTAGGAGAATATGGTTGTATTTATGTCCACACTAGCCAGAGGGAAATTTGGAAAACTTTTAGTGTCCAAGAGCTTTTGAAATCAGTGGAAATGGTGTGGACGCATAAACAGAACTCTTACTTTGGTCTCAAATACTTTGAATTCATTCCCCCTTTTAGCCCGGCAGATCAGCTTGCAACGATCTCGAGGAGACACTCCAGCATACATAGGAACCCATTCTAGCAAATTTCCATTCAAGTCGGTGAAGTTGTACCTGTCATATTTTTCACACTGTTGCTCTCGGAAGCTTTTGTCTACAATGAAAAGAAAAGGAGTCCACATGAAAGTGGCAACATGGAGAATGTGGAATCTTGTTTTCCATGTTTCAGTTTCAAGCCAGTGATTTGCAGAAGTTCTGATTTCTTTTCTCTGACCTGAAAGTAGTGCAGGTACCCATTTAAGAGCCTGCAACTTGTGTTGGGTCTATTATAAGTTCATTTCCATCCTAAATTATTTGCCTACCTGGGAATGCATCTATTGGACATTACAGCTCCAGTGCAACTCATTCTACTGTGTAGATGTGCAGTATGCCCTTAATTCATGCCCCACACCCAGGCTATGCTGAGTACAGCTGTCGCATACTATAGCCCTCCCAATTCTGCTTTTCCACATGAGACATTGTGCCTGCACAGCTACCTGATGCAGCTCCATCCCAGGACTAGAAAAGCAGAGGCCTGGATCTATGCTTTAGCTGTGGCTTAAGCATACGTGGGTTCCCTTTTGTCTTTTCCCCAGCTCCAAGAAAAAATGAGGGAGCTGAGCAGATGTGGGCTTCCGTGGTGTCAACAGCTGTTTTAGTCATGTTCATAGAAAACCTTTAAGGATATAAATGAGCCATGTAGCTAATAGCCAGTTTCTTTTCCCAGGAAACACTAAGAATGGCAGTTTTTGTGGAGGGGTGGCATTAGGAACTGTAAAGGACCCTCTCTGAGCCCTCTCTAAACTATAATGCCCAGAATTCACTAGGAAATAGGGGAACCATGGCAGCTGAAGTTGCATAAAACTGATACATGTTTATGGTATAGAGCAAGGGTCCAAAATCCTTTCAGGCCAGAGCACATTAGTGTATTCTCACAAAATGACAATCATGGTAATGCTAGCCATACATCACAAGGCAAACCAAGCTCCAGGCTACACCTACCTCTCCCTCAACCCTTTTATTTTCTAAAAATGCTTTTGGGGTCAATGTGGGGCAGAGAGGCTTTGTTGGAAATACTGGCTATGCTTAAGGTTGGTGACTTGCTTTGCAACAGAACTAGCTTCCTCCTCATGTTTTAGATTATTTTAATTTAAAACAGTATAATGACATAGGACAGAGAACTTGATGGGTGATAAAAAAAACATTAATGGCTACATTGTCACCCTGGGTGCCAAGGTGAGGGGTGTAAAAATTCAGACTGCTCTACCAGATATCCAGTTCCCAGGTTATTGATTCATTTCTGCACAAGCCCATATTATTAAAAAATTCTAACACTTCCTGCTGGAAGCAAATGTTGCTATAAAAGAGGAGATTACCATTTGGGGAGCATTCCTCACTGTTGCAAGACTCATATTGGACTCTTTGTCCTTCACAGTATTTGCCTCCATTTTTAGGCACTGGGTTGTCACAATCTCTGTAAGAGAAATGCACCCCTCCACCACATGTCCTGGAACATGGACCCCATGAGCTCCAGGAACCCCAATTTCCATCCACAGCAGGCTGCAAGACATAAAGGGTTGGATTATGGCTTATTTTAGAGATCACTGAGACACTAATCTCCCAGGAAAATATTAAAGCAACAGGAAAAATAGCCTGATCCCATCCAGCCTCTGGTGAAGGAGCAGTAAAAATGCTTTGCTTTGCTCCAATTACTGTAGTGGTTGCCTTAGGACTACACGCAGAGAGAGAAGAACACATCTCTGGTAACTGCAAGGAGACCAAAGATCCCCAAGAGAGTCTATTCCCTGCCTTTGATGAAGAACTTTGTAGCAACTGGAAGACTGTTCTGATCCTAACCTATCAGCCGGAGAGTAACAGGCATAGTTTTCCTCTGTCCTCCCATTTTTGTGTTGTGTCTCTTACTGCATAGGACTTTGAAATAGCAGAAGAAAACAAGTTTTGTATATCTTCTCTTTGCTGGTTCTTCATATCTGATTTTAGTCCATTACAGATGCTTTTATCAAACCCAATCCCAACCAAATAAACACTATCATTGCTCTTCATGTGCTATTTCTACCTTATTAGGGATAGGTGGTCTATATCTCACTGTAAGATTACCTTGGGCATCACTGTATGTTGTGCCACACAGTGGCTATCCAAACACATTTTCCCTGACCCACAGGGTGTCCCATCAGCCCAGGGCAAGCTGCCATTTTTGGTGTGGCACAGTTGCTCCCCAGTTTCCAACTTGCACCAGAGCTGGGAGCAGATTACTTCCTGTGTGGCATTTGGGCAGTGTTGGAACTCTTTGCCAAATATTTGCTGACACTGCTGGTCTAGGTTATACAATGGTATTTGGCCTGGAAGGTCAGTTGGGAGAGCAATAGGTTGGGCTGGTTCATCAAGTAGACAGTTACCTGGTAAAAGAGAAAAAGTAGAAAGACTGTCTCAGCCAACTTTCCATAGGCCTTTAAAGAAGTCCATAAATCAGAAATCGGTCATAGCTATTGTTTTAATCTTTGTACTCTGCTCAGAGTTACTGTGGTGAGA